TTCAGGCACAGCCCTGGCTGGGACAGGATGTTCAGGAACATGGGACACTGCTGGCACATCGGCCAGGTCACCTTTCCCTGGGATTGCTCCTTCCATGGGCCTGGTGCTGTGCTCCCAGCTCCCCTCTCCAGCCCTTCTTCATCTGCAGGGAAGGGCTGGCAGGGATCTCTGCTCCCAGCTCCCCTCTCCAGCCCTTCTTCATCTGCAGGGAAGGGCTGGCAGGGATCTCCATTCCCAGCCGCCAAAGAAATCCTATTCCATGCCCTTCTCACCCTCCTGCTTCCTCAGCAGATCTTTAAATACATTGAAAAACAAGAAACAAAGCAAGAAGAATCAGTGTGAAGTACCAAAAAACCTTTATTTTTTTCCCCCAAACCATAACATTTGACATTATATTGATTTCCTCATATATTTGTTATTTCTCTACGTTAGGAACCAGATACAGAAAATACAAACACGACCTGTTGAATCAAAGACGGCACAGCATTCCGTTAGAAAAAGAAACAAACTAGAGGAGCAAGATAAAAATGGTGAAAAATAGTCATTCCCTCCAGCCCAAACTTTCCAAGAATCATCATCAAAATAGAGCAGTGGAAGTAGCTTCTCTCTCTCTCTCTCTCTAAACGCACTTCTGCTTTTTAAGAAAAAAGTTAGATTTATCTTTAGATCTCAAAGTAAAAAAATGTTAAACTATCTTTCAAGCAATTTTGGAAGTTTGCATAGACCCATTCCCTTTCCAAAAATATCAGCCATCTCTCTATAGAATCTGATACAAACCGAGTGCGCCTCAGCCGAAGATCACCGAGCTCAATTCGCTTTCACGAAAATAAAACACCATCTCCCCTTTCCCCTCCCTCCCCCCACAAAAATATGGGCTCTACCGTTAATTCCTTGTGTTTGAGGTGAGTTCCGAGGCTCAGCCGCACCCCTCGCTCCGAAATCCATCCCAAATCCTTTTCTTTTCCCGGGTCTCCGCTGCCTCCCGTGGGGCAGGGCGATGTGGAGGGCAGCGGGCTCGGATGGGGGGGGCTGACGGACACAGCTCTCAGGAGGGAAGCGAGGGGGAACTTCGCACTCATCAATCCCCACCCCGAGCAGGAAGTGGCTTTTCAAGGACAAACACCTGCGACCAGGCAGTGTTTGTAGGAGCTTGTCCCTGGGGACTGGCCTTGTCCACAGGGCTCAGTCCCCAGGGCAAGAACTCAGCTAGAGACCAGGTGGGGTGGCAGGGATGGGGCAGGAGGGGCAGGGGGGGCTGCAGCCCCCGGGTAAGGCAGTGAGGAGGGGATTGGGGCCCCTCACCAGGAGGGGCTTTAACTGAGGTGCTCTAGCGTACCTGGAGTGAGGTTTTCCCAGAGGTTCCCGGCGGCAGGTGCAGATTCCAGCTGCACTGCCACCAGTTTAAAACGAAACAGCAACGACAAAATAAATAAAAAGTCAACCCCTCCTATTAAGATGAGAATGAAATAGGTATTTCTTCAGGTCTTGGCCTGCTTAGGAACCCCTCTACAAACTGAAGCAAACATTTAAAAGGGCTTGTTAGCTTTCTGCAGGGGGCAAAGTGGTGTGGGAATGGGGGAAGAGATCACATGCCTGCTGCCCATCGCTCCAAGGGTCAGGACAGCACGAGGCCCCCGTTAAAGTGCTGACCATACAAAAGATGATGATGGAGGAGCAACATCCTTCTCCCCCTTTTTCCAGCACAATTTCCTATTGAAACCCATCTCCTTCACCAAGTCACAACTAAGCCTGTTCTTTTAGACATTTACTCAGTTTATACTGGGTTGGGTTTTTTTTTTAAAAAAAAAAGGAAAGATAGTAAAAAAAGTTACATGGAATTTCCTAACATTTTGCAATGGGCTTCCACCAACTAAAGGTCCAGAAACTGGGAGAGCAGAGTCCACACATTTTGCTTGGCACCCCCAGACTGGAGCAGAGAGCCAGCTCTGCTCTCCAGGGCCAGCCAGGCATGAGCAGCTCTGCTCGTCAGCATCAGAGACCCAGGGGATGCAAAGTCTTGCCAATCAGGTCCTTTTACTTGTTTAAGCCACCTCTGAATCCCCTGAGGAGGGAAACAATGTGGGGAAGAACATCCCCCCCCCTCAGGTCCCCGAAATAAAATATCAATGAAACAATAATGCAGTCAAAAAAACACCAGCCTGCTGGGTTTATATAAAAAAAATCCAATAAACTTCACAACACAAAAGAAAAACCCAAAGGAAACTTAGCCAGCGTTTTGGGTCTGGAAACTGATTCACTTCTTAAATGTTCAAAGTCCAACAAGGAACAGATGGCAGCGGTGCCACAAGGAAAAAAGTGCTCGGAGACGCAGCTTCCCGAGGCAGCAGTGAGGCTGTAGGACCAGTGGCCCCACAGCCACCACCACCTTGTGTGCCCAGTGCCAGCCAGGGACTGCTGGGCTGGATGCACAGTGGGAGCTCTGCGTGAGATCTAGAAACAGGGACAGACTGCTCCCTCCTCCCCCCTGGGCTGCTCTGGGTGCTCCAGCCCTGGCTGTGCTGCGCCAGGCTGGAGGACTAGGACTGCTTTCCTATTCTAACTGAGGGGTAGGAGAGCTAAAAAGCCACATAAAGACCAGGATCTGTAGAGTAAATAACATGGAGACAAGGAAGAGATACCCTATGAGACACAGCTATCAAAAATGCAAGCAGTGATGTGCCAAGCCACTGGAAGATAAGCCAAAGACAAGCCCCAGGTCGGCCACAGCGATGCAATGGAGCAGGTTATGCCTCTGCCAGCCTGGGAAGATGAGACCAGCTTTGACCAGCTTTCTGAAAAGCTCAACTGCTTCTCCTCTTGCTTTGCTGGGAAGAGATTCCTCCCTCTGTCCCACTGGGGGTTTCGTGACACGCCGAGCTGCCAGTGCCTCTGAGCAGCCGACTCTTGCCAGCGGAGGCCAGAAGAATGCCCTGGGATCCCAACTGCTCTGACACTGACTGCCATTGTTCTTCATGCGAACAGAAGCAAAGCAGCAGAAGTGAGCTGGGTTTTGGCCTCTTTCCTGGCTTATGTTTGCTCCTTTCAAGTCCTGGTTGGTTCTGATTTCCCAAGGGGCTTCGCTGGCCCCTGGGGAGCAGCCTGACCCTCAGCTCTGCACAGCCATCCACAGACAGGGCAGGAACACTCACGGCTGCCCAAGGCTCCTCCTGCCCTCACCCTGACCTGAGCAGAGGGTCAGGCCAGGCCTGGCTTTCTGGCAGGGCCCCAGGGAGAGAGAACAGCAAGCAGTTCTCTTTCCTGCAGACACGCGGCGACCCAGGAACAGGGCAGGATGCTCACCAGCCTGCTAGCGAGTGCCAAACCTACCCAGACTGAATGAAGAAGACATCACCATTAAAAAACACCAGCAAGTGTGAAAGAGCTTCTGTTCTAGACAGACTCAAAAGATCCAACACACTTTTCCTATGCCAAACCAAACCAAGGTGTTGTCTGTACCTTCTTACCCTAACGCGAATTTAATTCCCTTTGAAGGGAAAGGGTGAAAAATATGCATATCCTATGTGTTTCTGTCCAAATACAGAAAAGAAACCTCTTGACTCAAAGAGAGAAACCATCCAAACAGAGTAAGCAGCTGTATAGCTTTGCCACACTGCTGAGCACCCTCCCCATGCAGTATCCTTAGCTAGCAGGGTGAAAACACTGATAAATCAAGGCCCTTTCATTCCTTGTTTCTCATTCTGCCAAATTCCCTTTTCCAGCAGCTCATCTGCATGCATTCTGGCCACATAGATCACAACTAATCCTTTTTTTTCCCTCCTTTTTAAATAAAGGCTTTACAATAACTAAGAATTTGAATGACAACATGGTCAGTTACATGTCTCTCCTTGCTGAATGGCACGAGTGTGTGTTCCCAGCCAGGCCTGGGAGCGTGGCATTGCTCTGAGGGCACGGCTGCTGAGTGCCACCACAGTACACTGGCAAAAGAGGAATGGGCACTACACAGAAATAGCTTATCAGCTGAGAGGCTCTGTACAGGAAGGGCTGCAAGCACAGCCTGCTGCCAGCCCACGGTGAGAGGCTGTACAGATCCTTGCGGGCAATTTGGCTGCCAGGAGAATCTCTAAGTGGGAGCTGAAAGGGACTGACATCTCAGCCACACACTGCAAGGAAAAGAGGCAGCTAAAGTGTCAAACAACTGCAGAAACCAAACCCAAAGAAGAGCAATTGAAAGATCAACCAGAGAACAGTTTGAAGCCTTGTCAGAAGAGTTCACTCGCCACGGAGCAGGTAAGAGCAGCTGCTCTGGCTAATGCAGCAGCAAATACCCATCTTACCCTTGAAGGCAGAGACAGTGGCTTCTCCTCAGCTCCAGAAGGAACCAGCTCAGGCATAGATCTCTGCTGACAGGGCAAGAAAGGCCAACCAACACCAAATCCCTTACTGGCCCAGATCAAGAGAGGCAGTTGACATCACCACCACAACAGAGAGACCACTGCAGTCAACTGCATCCTGCTCTGGCCCAGGAGAGGGCTATCAGAGAAACAGATTCTTTTCACAGTCCAAGAAGGGCAGTTCCCTTCCTGAGCCAAAAAAACAAAACAAAAAAAAAATAAAAAAGAAGGAGGCTTTGTATTCCAAGCTCCAACAGCACTATTTGCTGAATCAGTCCAGCAAACATGGATTATGCTCCTGGAATAGTGAGTAGAAGCCTCCTCCAGGTAAAATCTGTAACCTCTAAAGTGCTCCTGCTAATGCTAGTTGATGACTGCCCTCCCATGCCCAGCAGTGGAAGGGCTACTGCAGTCAGTGGTGTGATGAGCACTCGCACTTAACCGTTCACCAACTCCCAGCTGGATTGCGGTAGTTTTCTGAAATGCACTTTTGGGAAATATTTCCTATGAGAAGATGATGTTTGGGGGTTTGAGGGTAGGAAGGTGAGGTGTACACCATAGCATACCTTGTTCAGTAAAACCACTGCCTTGGGAGGTGATGTTCCCTTGCAGAGTCAATGGAATAAAGCATCCTGCAAGTGGCCATGTCACCGTGTCACCAACAAGCAGCTCTGGGTTTGGTTAGAATGGTTTCCCCCCTCCCCCAGTGGTTTGAAGAGTTCACAGTGGTATAACCCAACGTTCTGGGGAGACAGAAGCTGAGAAGTCCCCTGCTGCAAGTGAATGGGTGAGGGATGCAGATGAGCAACATCCTCTGGGACTAGCCTGAGGATAAGCCCCACAGACACCTTGCATCTGATCAGGAACAGGGGGAAGGCAGGCACTGGAAGGACCAGGAAGCAGAGAAGAACAATGCCAACACAGGGAAAGTGCATGTTCTGGAGTGGTCTTGGACTAGTTCTGCAGTGCAAACGTATGGGGAGGGGCATGGAGAAATCCCTTCTGGAATGCTGCATGAAGAGAGGTAAAGGTTGGCATCCATGTGGCAGCAGACTGGGTAGGGAGCCTGTGTCCAGCAGCTCTACCCTGTTCTTCACATTTAGTGGGTTTCAATCACCACTGGCTCGTAAACTCCAGACGAGACCCTGGGAAGGCAGAGGGGAATGAGATGAAGGCAGGTTATTTTCCTCAGTGACTTAAAGCAAGTTCTGATTTCGAGTTCTCCACTCATAGACATCTTCCTCTCACCCACAGAGAACATTGCAAAGAATGAGCCTGGCAGGAAGTCAACCCTTGTAACACAGAGCAGACAGCAACGTGGCAAGCCAAGACTGGAGCGCTTGAGAGAGCTGGGTGTAACACATGAACCCTGCTAAAGGACAGAGCAAAGGGGGAGTATCCTGCACAAAGAGCCAGCATTCCTGGCTTTGCTGGGCTCCTAATTTTGTCACCACTTGACACATCTTTGCATTACCATTATTGCTTTTTTGTTCAGCTCAAAAGCTACAATAAAGGCTCAAATGCAACTGGGCAAGGCACTGTACTAAGAGCTATTGTGGCAAGAAAAAGTTCTATTGCTTCAGAAGTCTTTCACGAGAGAACAAACCCTCAACGACGACGGAGGAGGCAGGGAAAAGGGACAATAAGAGGCAGGGAAAGGGACAATAAACCAGGTTGCTGCCGCAGTTTTGCTGCGGGCCAGCAGGAGGCAAAGCTCCCTCCTTCAGTAGGGAGCAGGAGGGAACGGGAACCAGCCTCTACCATCTTGTCCTTTCACTCCTCACTGCTGTTCCTAGGTCTAACAACTAGGATCCCATTATCCCTCTGAACTCCTGCCGAGAACAACAATCATACTCCAGTGCAGCTGTAGCCTGTTACCAAAGGGATCCCCGGGGTGTTAATGTAGGAATAAAGCCAAGTAGCACATGATGTTTAGAAATCTCTCAGGTAGCAAAAGGTGGGAGTTGCCTGGGTACAGAGAGCTCACTAATCTCTCTGGAGTCCCTGTCAGCCAGCCTTTCAGGGAGCCTACCTGTTTCCCAGCTGAATACCACTCAGCGTAGTTGTTCCATCTCTGCTCACAAACAACCTCAGGTTACTGTCTGCAGATGGAAAAGGAAGACAGACATCACAATCCAGAACTCCTGACACTGCCAGGTGCTCTCCTCCCAGGCACAGTACTCCACAGCCAGCACATGAACAAGTGTGTTTCTGTGAAAGCATGTGCATGCAAGCTTTCTGGAGTTCCCACAGTAATGGAGCCCTTGGGAACACCTATCCTTGCTCTGAACCTCCACAGCATGAAGCTTTGGAAGAGTAAAGGCAGAGGAATTAATTCAGGGATACTCCTCCAGCTGCTTCTTTTAAGGCAATTCCACTGATGCAAGTTCTTAGTCAGCTTAAACACATCTGGTGTTTAAACTCATCTGAACAGATGAGATGTTGGGCTTGACACTCATTTTGTAGGCTCACTGGAGGAGGAACTCAGCCTGTCCTGCTGGTGAGAGGTGGCTGCATTCAGTCTACTTTTAACCCATGATGAGTGAGGTGTAAATCCCCATATGATGAATGTTACCATGTGCAGTAATTTAAGGTGACTAATGGTAAAACAGAAACACAAACAAGCTAGGCTCACGTTTAAAACTTATCAAAAAACCTCAGATAAAAAACAGATGAAAAAGATTGATTTCTAGGCTAAACTGGACAATGAACACAAATGCAGTTACATTATTGGTTTTCTCTTAACAGACACTGTGACTGCAATGGAGAAAACCCCTTATCAGGCTCTCAGACAGACCTGATCAGCAGCACATTGTAACCCATCATTTTTCCCATCTTTCTGCAGAGATGTGCTGTTTTCCCTCCAGTTGTGCTCTCCTAATAAACACCCTTGGGCTGACCCTGGACCAAGGCCACTAGAGCAGTGCAGAGAGCTGATGTAACTGATTTCCACTGCACTGAGAACCAGTATTTTTCCTCTCTCCCTCTGCATGTTTGAGCTACAGCTGAACTTCTGCTGTAGTGCACGCAACAGCAGCAACAGCTATCTGTGAATGGATGTGCAGCCCTCAAGCCCACATGGTTTATCTATCACAGAAACACCCAGCAAGTACTGAAAGCAAATAGCTGTCAAAAGGGGAAGGGAGCCCATGGCAGATCAGATCTGACTGTGAACTCTTGGCAGATTTGCTGAAGGAACAGCCAAGACATCCCCTCTGAGACTCCTCCTCTTACCTTCAGTATTGCTGACATCTGTGAAGTCTTGACTCTGCATTATTTTCTCCACTATATCATCAGCATCGATCCTGGTGTCATCCACTCGGGTTGGGTGACTTTCCACCGAATCCTTTTTCCTCCTGGGGAGAGGAAATACAGTGAAAACTTACTCACCTTTTCAAGCTAAACTTTCATATATGGTCCTGCTTCTTTTCGCAAGAGTCTCCTTCTCAGTGGCTATAATCCAATCTGCTCTGCCTGGAGATAAAGGAGTAGGTTCTGTCTCTCCTTCTCAGGGAAGGGTCTCACCGGGAGGGTCTGTCCAGCAGAAGGGCTGGTCTGGGGGGGCGAGGTGGCTTCTCTGGTTTGTGCTCTCTCTCCCCCTCAGGACACTCCACGGTCATGCTCAGCCCCCCGGACGCGCTGCTGCTGGTGGAGGTGTTGCGGCGATGGGTCAGGTCTGACATGCTCGACGAGCGTGAGTGCTCTGTGCTGTAACCTGCAAACACACAGGGATCACACATCACATCTCCTCCCCTTCCTGGCAGCACAGTGAACAGGCAGAGCAGCTTCACATGAGCATTTCTGCTCCTGAACACAGAGGTTCAGACACAGGGGCCAGTGCTGGCAGAGGTGTGAAATCAGTGGTTACCAGAGATCTTGGACTGCTGGCTGGCATAGCTTGAGTTCCGTGAGTGCCCTGAGTGGAAGACTTCCTCTGGGCTGGACAGGTTCTGATCTGGTTCTTCTGGGACACCTGCCAAGGAACAACAGGACACTCTGCTTACACTGTAACCAAGCCAGCACACTGTGCACTGATCACCTTGGAGTGGAGGCTGAACTTGGGATGCCAGATGAGGAAAAGGGAAGTCTGCTGGCAGAGCCCTGCTGTACAGGCTGGCACAGAGCTCAGAAACACCTGAAGCCACAATGAGCTTCTCTGTCAGGTTTATCACTAATTCTAGCATCCAGTGCCTGAATTTACAAGCATCTCTGAGGACCTGTAGGGTCTAGAAGAACAGGTAGTCTCTGAATCTATTCATAGTTAAAAGCATTAAGCTCAGACCAAGAAAGCATCACATGGCCACTGGCAGTGAAGTATTACAACCTCTGGATGCTTCTTCTGTCACTACCTTTCCCTTCTATTCCTTGTGAGAGAGACTGTGCCACTTAAACCACCTCTGAATTTGATACAGAAACCTCAGCATAACCTCTGCTCCTTTGCTATCACGCCTGTTTGTCTCTCTTGCAGAAGCTTATCCAAAAGTGCACAGATGTAACACATTAGCCAGCTCTTTAAGAGCACTTGCACCACGTGTGAAGCCACTGAGGTGATGAGACTCGAGTGCTATTTTGGTGCAGTGTATCTGCCTGCACATTTGGAATGTGATGGGAAGGAAAAAAGCGATGTGAAAATGCAGTGTCCTTGAAAACAGGCTCATACAGAAGCCAAAGAACTCTGCATCAGCAGCTGGAACAAGGCCATTAGACCTCAAACCAACCTCCAAAAACCTTCAGAGGAACTTTTCTAAAAGATAAGTCTGAGCAACAGTATAGTTGAGTGGAGAACAATGTTAAGTGTCATTGAGCACAGTGGAAAGCAGAGATGAGTGCAATGCATGAATTATTAAATCTCCAGCAAAATGAACAAATTGCTTTGTCTCCACTAACAGAAATATGCATGTGGCAATTCATCCTTCCTCTCCTCAGTTACACTTAGATGGTTTTGTTTATCTCAGTTTTCTTAATGAGTGATGGGGTCAGGATGGGTGCGAGAAAACATGAAAAATTAAAGAGTTTTGTGCTTGCAACTGCTAGGAAAAACAAAGGAGTGTCCAGGAACAGCCAAGCACTGCATGTCTCCTGATGGGCACTGCTACCTGAGCCGAGAATGGCAGCTCTTGGCTTGCTCTGGCGCAGAGAGCCAATGGTGGCAGAACTGCTGCTGCTGCTGCTTGTGGTTCCTTCACCCTTGCAGGTCAGCTGCAGGCTCGAGTCCTGTCCCGGGATGGTGATGGATTTGGCGGTGGAAGGAGGCCTGTAAAAGGAGTGAAGAAGGTTCCAGACTGGCAGGCAGGGACCAGGAATCACCCCCTGGCACCGGCAATTCCCACTATTTATCCCACCCTTTGTGGCTGCCCTCTAGTCAGCACCACAGCTGGATGCTGGATTCTGTTTTCCTACATGCAAGACTCAGATCTTCCCTTCCCTGTACTGCATCTGGATTGCACTACAAGGAAAAGCAAGTTTCCAAGGCAAATTAAGGCAAAAAGGGACCATACAATCATTTATACAGGACAACAGGCTCAGAGCTTGTGCTATCCTCCACACCACCAGCCAGAGCTGCCCTTTTCCCCCAACACGTGTCCCGTGGCCAGTTGGCTTCACAAACAGGAACCAGTTTGCTGTTGTCCCACTCTCAACTCCAGCTTCCTTTCCATAATACCTTTCTGACTCAGCCCAAAAAGAAACCTTTTATCCCAGCAACTCCACCCCCCTCTGAGAGCACTTTTACAATGATCAAATAACCTTTCCAGTTTTTAACTGACGATTAAACTCCTTTTCAGTGAGACTAAAGTGTTTTTCCAGCTGTCAAAATTATTTTTCTGGTTATTCTGTGTGCTTCCAACATCCCTTTGTAAATGCTGACTGCAGGGCAGAGCTGTGAGTGCCTGGAGCCCCCTCCCTTCCTCCAGAAGTGCTCTTGGGTGGAAGCCACAGCATGTGCAGCGTGGCAAAGTGAATATTCCTGTTGGAGCCCTAACCTCCCTGCAGCCTGGAGTCTGAACTGGAACTAATGGATCATATTATGGTTTTTAAGTGAGGAGTGAGAAATAAAAACTATTATTTGCCTCACTTGGAGCTCAGAGGGAAGATGCTACATGAGAAGACCTTTGAGGTATTTTAGGAGTAAGAATCAAGCACTGAGAATACTTTGTGGGCAGCCAAATGGCTATAAAGGTTTCAGGAAACCCACAGCATACCTTTACCAGGAAAAGCCTCTCTCTAATCATGTGATCAGTGATTTACGTGTACTCAGGTGCTTTGGGGACTTTGCTTCACAGGTCTGTAAGGTTTTTACAGCCCTAAGCAAGCAAACTTCTGCAGCAGCTGTGAGAGCAGCCTGTGGATCTGTCAGCTCAGCCTACTCTGCCCCTCTCCACAACCCCCAGCAGGAGAAGGTCAGTCTGGGTCCTGCAGAAAGTGCTTGGAAGTGACTCCCAGCAGTTTAATTCCTGCCTAACCCTCCAATGAGTGCCATTTACCAAAGGCTCTAATGATCGAGGGCTATTCTACATGCAAAGTTCCCATTTTTAGACACTTGCACATCATTGACACACTAGGAAAAAATGGCAATGACTGCAAAAACCCTTTAAGAAAATCAGGAGTTTGACATTCAGACTGACTCTACTTATATTAAATGGATATTTATATCCAATTCTGTATTATTTTCGGGCACTCTAACAGTGGAACTTGTTTCACAGTGAAGGAGCAACAGGTATTTTTGTCAGACAATATTACTGCCAGATATCCTACTGCCCTAGATTCAAAACAGCTGTTACTGCTATAAAGTTATGGTTTAAAAATGTCCAAAACCTCTTTATTACACTTCCTTCTGAAGCAGAAATTCTTCAGAATCAGATGACATTGAATTGGGGTTTGAAAGGCTCAGAAAATGCTGCAGCTATGAAAAGCCATTCACAAAATGCAGCATTTTACAACACAAATGCAACCTCATTTATACACTTCAAGCTAGCTCCCAAAATTAGACCTTTTAGCCCAGAATACCAGTGCTGTAAGAGATGGCCTCGAGGTAAAAAAGTTTTCTTCTCTTATGCTGTTGGGAGTCAAGAGCAAGTATTTCTGTGGGCACATGGCAGCTCTGCTGTGTGCAGTCACACACCAGAGCAAGCTGTTGGCACTGCAGAGCCCTGTGACACTGCACTGCAGTGAGGGGAGATGGTGCCAGGATATTTGATAGTAGATTCACTAACAATCATTTCAGCAACCAAACTGCTTCCTAGCTTAACTGTACTTAAGCCTTTCCTAGCATGATGCATAAAAAAAACCCCCCAAATATGACTGCAGTTTCTCTGCTAATTAATAAATTGTGAACCCTGTAGGGGGGAAAAAAAAGGAATTGAGATGTTTCATCCTTGTGGTATTTTTGTTGCTGTTTCAATCTGAGATCTTTATCCCACATGATATGTGCTGAAGCATGTCCATTTCCAAGACTGTTTTCTTCACTGACCTTTCTCTTCTTGGAGGTCAGTGAAACCAACCCCAGAGCCATGAGAAATTCTATCCTTCAGGCAAAACATGAAGTTTGTCATCAACATCTACTTGGTTGATGACATCCAAAACCTGCCTCACACTAGCAGGGAAAATACTGTGCACAAGCAGTAAGCAAGCTGGGAAAGCCAGAGCAGAGAACAAAACCAATTAACAGCACAGTCTGGCTACACTTTTCTGGCTAATTCAAGCAGTTTCAAGCTTTCCCCTGCACTTCTCAATATCAAGGGCATCTTTCCCCCCCCAATACATCAATTTTAGACTCCAGCAGAGAGCTGCAAAAGAACCAGGTGCCCTGGTGTGCCCAGAAACTCACGTTTTGAAGCAGGGATCCCCCGAGAGCAGAGACATTCCGATGGTGACCTGGAGAAGGGGGACAAGGCACATCATTAGCCATGCTGCAGTGAGCTCCTCACTTCCCAACAGTCAGGAGGTCCAGGGCTAGGTGTAAAGATTAGCAAAATCTAATTCCTTTCCAATGGAAATAAACTTCAGGGATTTGGCAAGGTATTTCCCTCTCTGCCCTGATCACTGGCATCAGTAACTCCAAGCTGCAGTGGCTCAGCAGGACACCAGCCTGGCCACTCTGACAATGCACTCAGAACTTTTTCCCTCCCTCCTGTTCCTGATTTCTTTGACAGAGAATGCTGCCATGGGTCACTGCTTGGCCAAATCGATGCCAAATTATCAAAGAGCAACTCTGACAGTGGGAAGCTTCCCAAGTCATTCTAGCAGCATAACAGCAAAACGCTGTCTCTGTATGTAACAGGACCTTCTCTCAAGCCTGGCACTACATCTGGCTGGGATATTCCCAATTTCCATTGTAGGATCTCTGCTGTGGCAGTACTAGCTGCTGTACCTTTAGGATGGAGTTGTCCTGTCGGGTGTTCTTAGTATCGTATCCTTCCAACAAGCAGCAACGGACAGTGGATCCAGAGCCTGCAAATTCTGCCAGATTTAGATCAGCAAAGCCCAGCTGTAGCCAAGAAAACAATGGAGGGGAAGGGGAGAGAACAAAAGTTACTCAATAAAGGGATATGTGCTGTCACACAGACCAAAGGAAGAGAGCACATCTGTGAGCAAGGGCAGAAACAGGAGCCACTACACACAGAGTGATGGCTGTGAAGATTCCCTGTTCTTGAGGATGGGCAGGGTCACATTCCTAATCCTAAACCAGATGGACACCCAGAGGTCATCAGGAAGCCAACCCCACGTGGAGGAAGGGTGCACAGCAGTGCTGCTGGCCAGGACAGTGTTAACCAGCCTGCAGCCATTGCATAACCAAGGACATGGAAGGCACTCGGTCAACGATGTGGAAAAAACAGAATCACACATACACAAACATAATAAGGCACTCTTTGTATCAGGCCATCCCAGAATGCAGCAGAGCATGTGAACCAGGAGATGAAAGGATATTGTTACAGAGGAAAGTGACACCGTCCTGAAAACAACAACTGAGACTTTCAGCACAGTGAGCTGGAAGCCTAGAGCCAGGCAGCAGTGCATGTGCCTCACCCTTCAGAGGCAGCTGCTGGGCTGGGAAACTCCTGGAGCAAAGTTCCCTCGACACTGCTAAGGTTTAACTAGCAAGGGGAATGGCTGGCAGGCAAAAGGGAAGAGAAATATTTGAAGAGATTTCATTGTGAGCTCTCCACACTTCCTCTAACAAAGAGAAAGTAAATAGGGAAAGTGACAAAGTTGAAGATCATAGGCAAATTCAAAGAGGGCAATGATACCACCTGAGTAAAGACAAACAATGAAGACGACCTTTGTTTTCATGCCCTAATTCCCGGTGTAATAACACAGTGTTTCAAAGAAGTTACAGCTTCTTTATGCAAAGCTTTAGCAATAGAAGTTAGCTGTATCTCATCTAATCTGATCAGGAAGAGATGCTGTACCCTGTGTTTGGCCAAACCATCCAAGCACGAAGAGTTTGCATCACTTCAACATACAAGTCAGCTCCCAGGAGAACACAGAGCAGGTGGAGCAGCAGCAAGTCATTCTGTGTGCTGCAGGACATTTCTCCTGCCCTGGTGTTGACAGCTGGATGACACAACTGAACAGGGAGCCCCAACAGTAGCACCATCCTAAGGAAATGTGATGTGCTCTCAGCTGAGGAAGGTGACAGGGAGCCACAGTACCAACCACTGCCACAGGAGCCCTGGCTCACACTGTTCCAAATCAGAAGTCTAAACCACAGTCTGCTCAAGATACATGATTCAGGGGGAAATAGCAGCAAGATTAGTATAGCTGCTTCCTCCATCCCATTCTCGAAGGGGAACTCCTGGTAGCAAATGAAAAAAAAAAGTGTAGGATAGAGAGAACCTTTCTTCAGCGAAATAAGGAAGAAATAACTTCACTTTTCTCCCTTCTTAACAATTCCCTTAATGCAAGTGTTTCTCCAGCCTTTGCTGTAGAAATTCCTCTGTCTCTTCTAGCCAAGGGCTGTGCTGTTTGCTAATTATCCACCGATGAGGAAAAAAAAAGAGTGAATTTTTATCTCTTGGAGATAAACATGACAGGGGAAAGCTAGAGAGAGAGCTGCAATCCATCACTGTGACAAACACAGCACAACCACACCAGGAGAGCAACATGGCACAGGAATGGTCCAGACTCAGATCCTCCTTCCTCCACCACAGCACTAACTTCTCTGAGAAGATCAACATCAGAGTGTGAGAGAACCCTCCAGCAACCCACGCGGTGTGCTGAGGTCAGAACCCTCTTCAGGAAGCAAACTCCCAGTATATAGAGGAAAGATCCCTTAACAAAGGGATGTTTTCAGATATAACCTTTCAGAATAATTTCCTCACTTTTCCAGCC